TTGAAATTTGATTATGATCGAATTTTGAGGGACGTTTCTTCAAAAGAAAATTTTGAAAAACACGGCTTATTCCGATTTTTGAGGTTTTAATGACGTTTTAAAACGTCACCCGTCCCGAAAGGGTTAACATGCTTAGTTATTCTCATCCATGTGGGAGACATCCCGACTCTTCACACATCATGACTTCGGTGTGGTATTGGATCTCTTAGGAACTTCAGTACTTCTCCCTCTGACCCCTAGTAACCTCAGAAACTGATAAAATATAGGCTTGTAGAATAACTAATGTAAAACTGCCTTCAGTCAAAATTCAAATGTATTCAGGATCGATCCTTATTACTTAAGAACTACATCGTCTACTTCGTTTTGTCTACTCAATCTGATTTTGTACTTAATATTAGTGAAAAATATTGTCTTACTTTCAAAGCTTTTTTGTAACGCTTTTCGTAAACATAAGTACTTTCTATGGTTTTTAAAACTCTTACTTTACGTCAGAGTGTATTGTAGATAGAATGGAGCAGACCATGAAGTTTTACAGGAATTTGAACCCATTCGGACTGAGACGGATGAATTCATTAGTTTTTGGAGAAAATAACCATGTCAAACGTCGGCTATATCGTTTAATGTAGGTTTCTTAAAATTTCTAGAGTTTTTCAGAATCGATCGCAAAACCACACCAACATTACGTTTCATTTTTATATATGAATAAGTTTGTCGCAGTTTCTTCCAGTTATCGATATTGTTCGTCATTGTATAGACTAGGAGCAGAGGTGCAGCCAGTATCGGTATGTGTACCGGTACCGCTGCCGGTACGGATTATAACGCCGACCCGTATACCGGCATTAGTATGACGTATAATTGGTCGACCGATATTGCTGGTATTCTGCGGTATGACGCGATTTTTTTTTTCAAAAAACAACGTGTAAATTCAGTTTATCTGTAACATATTTCTTCTACTAAAATTTCATTCCAATTACTAAAGCTTTCTCGGCTTATATAAACTTCTTAATTTGAAAGGTTGAAATTGAATTGTTGTTTTCGTGAAAAAAACCGTGTGAAAAATCAGCTATACATAATCAAAATAAAAAGATTAATCTATCCCTTTGATAACATAAAATAAAGTTCACAGTAATGAAAAATAAGGAAAAAGTATTTTTACTTAGGCAAAATATGCTCAAGACAAGCCAGTACCGATCGGTACCGGTACCAGTGTCGCATTTTTCATACCGGTTACACCCCTGACTATGGATAAGACAGTTCCAGTTCAGCTCTTTTGGCAAGGGGGAAAAAGCATACTTCTGTACTTCTGGTACTTCTCCGTACTTCTTGATACTTCTTCGTACTTCTTCGTACTTTTTTGTACTTCTCCGTACTTCTGAAGTACGAAGTACGAAATACGAAATCCCGTATTTCGTACTTCGTACTTTAGAAGTACGGAGAAGTACGAAGAAGTATCAAGAAGTACGGAGAAGTACCAGAAGTACAGAAGTATGCTTTTTCCCCCTTGTCTTTTGGACAGGAACTGGTACCAGTTCTTTTCAAAAAATTAAAATTGAAATAGAACCGGTGAACCTATTTACATTGACTTTCTGTAGTGCGCCAGAGGTAGATGCTGTGTTTAGTCGACTAAACCAAGTCAATATAACTAGCTACATCCCTTTTATTTCATTTTGAATTCTTGAAAAGAACTAGTAACCAGTTCCCGTTCAACAGGAACTGAACTGGTGATCAGTTCTTAGAAACAGTCTCACCCCTAGTATAGACAATAAGCTAATCTCATACTAATCATGACTGATAAATAGCCATTCTAATAAAATTTTTATTTTTTTCCCATAACGGTTCAACTTTTAGTCGTCAGTAAAGAGTTGTCAGTCACCAGGCGTGACATGACGTTACCCCGAACAAGACTCTGACCCTTCCACGAATTTTTCATAGAATACATTTGGGTCTTTTTGGCAGTATCTCGTGGAAGGTGGGGTTGTGGGCAGTGTGGGAGTGAGTTCGAAAAGCAGTTTCACACAAAACATATTTACATGATGCCAAACTGTATATCTGTAGCTGTATCATATAATGACTATTCACTACACAACTTCAGTTAAGTTTCGTGTTGTTCGCGAAAACGTCCTTCGCAGAAATGTCGGTGTGTCATCAATAAGTGATTTGCAAATAGTTTCCTGTACAGGAGAGTGTCTTTGGTAAAAAGCCTATAAGAATTTAGACCCTCGTCAGTTCTTTCAAAAATTATAAATATTCTTTTGTTTCGCGCTGCAGAGGAATCTTAAAAAGCTAAAATTGTCATGTCTTAATAAAAATAGCGAATTAAGGACTGAAATATTTTTCCTTAACTGGACTCGTGGTCTATTAATATCACAAAAATATTCAACATTTCAACGTTGCAACGCAATGAATAATTGAAATAAGTGATACCAGTTTGTAGAAAATTGTTTACTCTACAAGATGTGATAGCTTGTCAAGTTCGAAACTATTCTAATTAATCTGTACGGATCAAAGAAAATGTGTGACATTTTTGACCGTTTTTGTCACAGCGTCACAGTTTTTCTGGTTTTTCTTTGATTAGTACAAAAATATTATTAATTATTGCAATAATGTTTTGAAAATGAGCGAAAAAAGAAGATCGTTAGCTGGACAAGCCGAGGGATTGTTAAAATAACAAATCAAGCTCATTTCACACCATATATAGTGTATATAACGTGTGCATCAGAATAAAAATCGGTCACTTAGTATTTTGCTTGTATCTCAGTTAGATTTTATCTTCTACGCTTTATTATTTTCTTAAAAGAAATTTTCTGCAAAAGATATATAAAACACTTTTTTTTGGCGAAAATTACCTTTGGCGAACTTCCCATACCCTCCTTGTGACTACATATAATCCGAATATTCCATCAAAACGAATATTTTAGCTGAAAAATATTTTAAAAAAATGAAATCTAAAATAGTGAATCCATGAGTTACTTTCAAAAGTGACAATCATGCTGATATAGCCAGTTCGAATTTCTTCTCAGATTCTCGGCACCTCTTTTAAAGTTTTTATCACTTTTGTGCGCGCTACTTATTCAAGAAACCCATTAGAAGCTTATCAACGTCACATATAGTCTAAAAAGGATTATTATATGACTCTGACAGGGGTGTGATGAGATTCGTGTACCAGATGCAATTTTTAGAATAAATTATGTTTTAAGGTACGTGGTTATGCATCAAATCATATTATTATGACAATGGGAAGTGATTTTCAATTTGAAAATGCAAACGAATGGTTTAAAAATTTAGATAAAATAATACGTTATGTGAATGAGCAGGTACATTTTCTTCTCATTCTATTAAATTGGAACGATAGCTGAACTTATTCTTTATTGTACTATTTAGCAATCAAATGGGAGTGATGTTAATGTGTTTTATTCAACACCATCATGCTATTTATATGCATTAAATAAAGCTCAGCTTACGTGGACATCAAAAACGGATGATTTTTTTCCTATTGCATTTAATCCACATGCTTTTTGGACAGGATTTTTTACATCAAGACCAGCTCTAAAACGTTTTGAACGTTATTCAAATAATGTACTTCAAGCAACAAGACAATTAAATGCCTATGGAAATGTCAATGATCGCCCAAATCTATTTGTATTAAGTAAATAATGTACACTAGTTTATTAAATAATTTACAGCCTTCGTTTTTATTAAGGTGAAGCTTTGGGTGTAGCTCAGCATCATGATGCTGTGAGTGGAACGGAAAAGCAACATGTAGCGGATGATTATGCTATGCGATTAGCAGATGGAATTGACAAGTCTGTCGTAAGTAATATTTATGCTGGCGTATGACGTGACAGATAGTATAACTGTCTGTATAACTTTATGTTTCTAAGGTGTAGATGATTCAGATAGTATACTGCTGATGTTAAAATACTTTCAAAAAAAGGTTTATTAAGAAACTTAAAATGGTATAGAGAAGTACAACCATTTCTAAACCCTTTTAGGTTTCGTAGTAGACATCGTGCAGCACGAAACCGTTTAAGTACATAAATTCTAGCAGTTGTTTTTAAAAAATTTTTTTTTTTCTGAGCAAGTAGACTATTTCAGCAGCTTACGCGTGTTTTCATAGTATAGGGCGGCGGAAACTGAGCCCAAAAAACACCATATGGAGTGGTAGTAATCAGCTCTAATATTCAACTATCTCGGTAACCTTATTAGAATATTTTTAGTGTCCTTCGTTTATTCATAAATCAACGACATAATGGTTTTTCTTTTCTCTGTCGCATAGTTCCGTTTCGTTTTAATCTTTATGCTATTTTCTTGACGGAAAGTGTAGCGTCTCATAAATAAAATATCTGACGTCGACATTAGCAAAATAATATACACGTACGTTATTAAGTAATTTCACTGAGTGAAATGTTATTCTCAGTTTAACTCAAGTATCAAAAGAATACTGAGTGAACAAAAAGGTTTATTACGAAACTCAAAAGGGTATAGAGAAGTGCAACCATTTCTAAACCCTTTTAGGTTTTGTAGAAGACATGGTCCAGTACTAAACCGTTTAAGTGCATAAATTCTAGCAGCTTTTTTTCTGAGCAAGTGGACTATTTCAGCAGCTTATGCGAGGTTTCATTGTATAGGGCGGCGAAAACTGAACCAAAAAAATACTTGAAACTTCTGTAATTTTTGATTTTTCGAGAAAAAGTCATAAGGAAAAAACATAACGAAATAAGCAAATGCACTCACTGATCAATCGTTTCAGTGCACTTAAAACGTACTGCACCTTGACTTCTACGAAACCTAAAAGGGTTTAGAAATGGTTGCACTTCTGTAAACCCTTTTAAGTTTCGTAATAAACCTTTTGGCTCTTATTTTATGAGTAATTTTCTGCCCATTTAATCTGATTTTAAAATTTTATTTTTGACTTTATCGGACGGACAGAGGGCACCTCAAACTATCTATCAATCTATCTGCCAATGAGACATTAGTACGTAGTTCTATGGCAGAAAAAATATATACCAAAACATCTGAAAACTAAAGCAAAAAAAGGTGAAATTCCATGACGCTCACTTTTTTTCGATTTTCTCTGCCGGGGAACTAGTTCAAGACAAAGTCTATAGTGATTATAATAGTCCTTACTGTGAGCTTTAATTTGGTAACCAAGCGATCGTTTCAAAATTGATCCAAGGCTGAGTAATTTACATTTTAGTGGAATATCCGGAAGATAAATTCCATTTTTCGCCAAAACGTACTCTTTACCTACTTTCTTCAAATTAATCGGGCTGCAATAAAGCGGTGTGTAGCTTTGTTATTCTCAAAAAGTTGACACTGTTTATATTCACCTTTGAAGGATATAATCAACGCTGCCTACAGTAAGCTGATGATGAAAAGTGGACAGTCAGCTCTTCCGACTGAACCCCAATTTTTATGTCAGTATTTGAATATAAGTGAATGTTTACCAATTGAAAATCAAGAACAAGTATGTATAGATTTAATAACTAACCGATTTATTCTTGTTCATCCTTTTTTTCCTAGTTTACCTTGACACTATATAATCCCACAATTCATCCTGTTGTGCACTATGCGCGTATTCCAGTTACGCGTGACTATACAATACGTGATCCTGATGGACAAATTGTCATGGCAGATGTAATGAGAGAGGATTTAAAAAAATAATATTCTATTTCTGCATTGGTTCGGCTTTTAGTTCATACCTATTTCAAAACCAACATTAAATATTCCAGGCAGAACAAGTGTTGCTGAACTTCAACTTGTATTTCGAACTATTTTACCTGCTCTCGGATTTAACACATATTATTTTGAAGTGAAAAGTATAATGATTATGATATGTTTTCATTTTGATTTGTCAACAATATTATAGATACTATTTCAAATTTAAGGTACAGCAACTAAACCATCTGTTAAGAAAGTATCACAAAATGAAGCATGTGTACTTCAAAATGGAGTAAGAAAAACTGCACAACGTGAACAGTAGATCTTACATTCATTATGCAATCTTCTTTATTTAGCGAGTTCGTGTGGATTTTGACGAAGAAGGCAATTTGAATCAAATAACGAATCTAGATAAAAACATAACGTTTCCAATGAAACAAGGTTTCTTTTATTATAAAGGTAAGATTATAATTGAACTATATTTTCATTCAATAAGTGATATGAGGATGATCGCCTATAACTGTAGAAGACATGTTCAAGTGATACAGAAAAAGTTTAGAACTAAGATACTGAACATCTAATATAGAACTATTTTTAGCTAATAGGTAATTTGAAGAATGCGAAGGACTTGATTTCATGACTGTTTACTTAACCCTTTACCCCCGCTTGGGTCATTTTCGACCCATTCGTAGAAATGATGCAGTGGAATAACAAAGCATAGGATTAAGAAGCTTCATGAACATTGTGTAGAGAATTCAATAAGCTATAGATTCATAAAAAATAACTTTTTGTTTCATCACGGAGTCTGAAAACGGTGAATTTTTCAAAAAGTGGAAAAATCTGATTTTTCTTTTAAAGATTTTTTTTCACTTGAACAGATTGATTATTTTTGTATTCGGGCAGTTGATATATATTGCTATGGGCATCATCTATTTGCAGGAAAGCGTTTAAAGATTTCTTGATTAGAAATGTGGGAGCAGCATCCTTCAGGACAACATGGGTCATCTTTGACCTATTCGGAATGAGTGACATGAACAATGCTTTTTTTCTGCAGGTATTTTGTTTATTGATATAAGCTACATTATTGTTTCCTGCGTTAGATCTAGACTTTAGAACACGAGCAGTTTATATTAGAAGAACTTACGGCCCCAACAGTGTCAAAAACCTATTTATCCATTCATTTACGAGATTCCTAGACCGTAGGCATGCACTATTTTCAGTTTTTAACTGAAGTTATATAAAAAAAGGTAGATATAACTGTAATGTTTATGAATTTTTTAGCAATATCAGAAGTATAATCTCTGCCTACGGTCATTTGTCAGATTCTAAGCTTATCTAGAATTCTGAATATAAATTTAAGTTATCCTAAACCCTTCCTCAAAATACAATTTCCGATATTTTCGACAGTAAAGACCTCGGGTGTTTGTAATCAAATTAAGCCTATCATCAATCATCTTTCAAAACAATTCATGATAGGAACCACTTTCTGGCTTTATACAGACCAAGTAACCACACAATTGCAAAAAACCTCAATAAAAACCAAATAAGCAAAACAGTAAATTTTCATGTCACTCAACCCGAATGGGTCGTAAATGAACCATTCTGTTCCTTCACAGTGAAAGAACTTCGCTCAAACTTAACCGTACCATTGTCATATTGAGCATCCCCATAAGCTATTCCCGTGGTAAACTCAACACCAGATCTGCTGTATTAGCACCAGGTGGTAAAGGGCTAAGGCCTCCCCCAGAAATGATGATTTTGTATCAGAAAAATCAATTTCGAGACAAGCACATGGAAAGATAGCCTTTCAGAATCTGTATCGGTTTCGGTCCTAGAGCTGTTTTTTGTGGTTCTCAAGGAAGTTTTGTAGAAGCCTCGAAAACTAGTCTTCAAATAATAATTTTTTTCTAGACACATAGATTTGTAGAGCAGACTTTTTTCATCAAAATAAGACGTTGCACAACTCTGTGTGATCGTGCGTTCAAAAATTACAAACATTTTCCTACATGTCCTAAAATACACCAGCCAATGCACAGCGTTTCTCTCAAAACACGTTTTTTTGTTCGAACATGCCCAGCATGGAATACTTTTTTTAAGTATACTTCAAGCCAGAGATCTCGGGTTGATTTTATTTTAAACTAGACTATTTTAAACCTAACTGCATGGACTGATGGGAGTCGATTTTTTAATTATGCCTTAGTTTTCTAGAAAATCAAGGATCCCTGGAAAATCTGAAAGAACTTTTCGGGTTTTTCAGGATCTTGGATCTCTAGAAAACGAATGAGGATCTAAAATCTGATCCTTTCAGTCCACGCACTTAGGTATCTAGCTTAAAATAAAACCGACCCGAGATCTCTAGCTTGAAGTATACTTAAAAAAGGTGTTCCACAGTGGAGGATGGATTTTTGACCTTGGACTCTGGAAAACCCCAAAACGGTAAGAGATAGCAAGGCAAAAAAATTGTATAACCACACTTTGATATGGCAAACATTTGCTGAAAGTTTGATCAAAATCAGATGGAAGACAGTATATGTCCGCAACCGCACAGAGCGACAAATATAAAAATGGCTCTATGTTTGTAGTTTGACGGCATACAGCTATGAAACTTTCTTGATAGAGGTATTCGACTATGAGGATTCAGAAAATGACTATGGGCGACCTCTAGGATCGATTCTATTTGTCGAAATTTCGTCTCAGCTTGGTTGCATGATAATGATATTTCCTTGAGTTTAGTCCAGGGTCTTACAGGATGGTTGTCTGTGTGTGTGTGTGTGTCTGTGCGCAGAATAAGGGAAGGTTGAGTTTCAGCCCCCTTGGGATCTTCAGAGGATGTCCAGAAAACGTTTTAGCTTTATGTTACAATGTACGCGTTTTCCGTGGAATGAGAGAAGTTTACAACGTTTTTCAACTATCTGGGTACGAACATTAACCTGAATTTAGAAATATTTTTAGACCTCTGGAGATCTTTGAAGAGTCTAGAGAAAAATTTTAAGCTTCACATTAGATTACCAAGCTTACAGTTGAAATCAAAGAAAAAATCATAACGTATTTTGCATAGACCCTTAATAAGAATTTAAGTATTGGGAATGTATCTCTTTTATTTCTTATTATATTGTTCTTCTTCTTATTATACTTGCTTGCTGCTGCATGTTGAGAATGTTCTTCAGAAAGCTATGCGAACAAGAAATATAATTATTTTATTCAGTAGAAACAATTTGATATTGGCGATTCCTTTCCAGTAAAGGGATAAGTGAGTCAGAATGATGAAGGTTACTTATTAACTATTTTCTTTGCAACGAGGCAAACTACTCGTTAAATCGCCACCTTAACGAATTTGCTAGCTACTGAATAGTTGCTGGCTGATTTTCCAAAACTTGAATGAAAAAATTTGGTGATCTCCCACTCTTGCTATAGAGTCAAAAGCTCAGAAGCAAAAACCTTTTCGATGAAAACTAGTTCTCGTTATAACCATAGAAATGGACACTAGTAATGGCGCTTGGAACAACGAAGCGTCCAGCGTTTATTCCTGAGCATAACGATCTAACGACATACTCATCATGGGTTTAGGAGCACAATAAGGCAGGAAAAGATTTTTCAAAGAAATAACCTCAGAGTCTTATCGAAACATTGCCGTCAGAGAAAACTCGGCTCATTGAGTTTCACTGAAAATTTAGTGATCGCCACCTTCTACATTAGCTAGTAAACCTCTCAGGTGAAACGTGAATATCATCGACCAATGCATCAACTACGCGAAGAGAATTTTCTTGATTCAAATTCTTGATTCTACGAAGAAACCCTGCGCTTTACGTTTTTTGTTTTAGCCCCACGTTTATTCAGTACTACTGATTATTATATTTCTTGGATAATATGCCCTATCCTTCAGCACAATTTTGTTATGCATTCCATAAGGAACGAATTTATTGTTGTCATATCAACACTGTGTGTGCTTTAGGTTTTCCTGGTAATAATTCACGATCAGATTTCCAAGCGTCGGGCGCCTATATGTTCCGTCCAAATAGTTCCGATACTTATCCTGTTAGTAATACACGTACAATAAATTGTACAAAAACTGACATTGTACAAACGGCACAAATAATCTATAATGAGTGGGTTAGTCAAGAAATAAGAGTTTACAATGATCAACTCTATGTTGAAAGTGAATGGACAATTGGTCCAATATCGATTAATGATGCAATTGGAAAAGAAATAATTGTACGTTATGATACAGATATAAAAAGTGATCAAAAATATTATACAGATGCAAACGGTCGGGAAATAATCGAACGTATGCGTGATTATCGTCCAGGATGGAATTACACAGTTAATGAAGCAGTTAGTGGTAACTATTATCCAGTTAATAGCCGTATATATATCAAAGAGGAAGGTAGACAGTTAACTATATTAACAGGTAAACTACAAGAACAATATATCGGTGCAACTTGTAATCGCCATATTTGTTTTTTAGATCGTTCTGAAGGTGGTACAAGCATGCAAGATGGCACAGTTGAAATTATGATTCGTAAGTATAATAAGGGGCTGAGCTGAAATTATCGGTCAGGTTATAGCTTTTGATGGTTGTGAATTATGTATTCAAGTACATTCGTTATACATCCAAAGTAAAATACTGAAATAATTCTGTGCGCAATTTCAGATCGTCGGTTATTATATGATGATTCACAGGGTGTTGGTGAGCCATTAAATGAAACGGCCTACAATACTGGTTTAGTTGTACGTGGCAAACATTTTATACTGGTTGATGATCCTGACAGTAGTGCATTGCAACATCGTCCTAACTCACAGGAATTGTATATGTCGCCTATATCAACCTTTTCATTAATTAAATCAACATATGAAAATTATACAAAGAACTATCGTCAGTCATGGTCAGCCGTCAATCAAACATTACCATTAAATGTGTACGTATTACAGCTCACATCTGAAGACTGCACCTAATTAATAAAGGGACAGCCAGCAAGGAAGCTTGTTTCGACGACAGTGAAGAAAACGTTTTTGTATACAGTATCTTAGTTTTGTTATTGTCGACAGATCCCAAATATAACATGTGGTTGAGAGAAAAGAGTAAAGCTTTGGATTTGTAGGAAGCTACCAACTAATTCTACTACCGCAGTGAACTTCTGTGATGAAGTTTTCACATATTTTTCTGTTTAGATCTTATATAGCAGTACAGAAAATGCAAAATGCTACTTTTCTAAAATGAAGTATCAGAAAGCCGTTTTTTATTTTCTGTTTGCATTGTAAACAAATGCATGTGCAGAGTCTCAAAACGCCTCATTTTGTAGAGAAATATTTGGTTTATAATTCTAGACGCTCCGCAGATGCTTTCATTAAAAAGGTATAAGCATAAGAAAACGTGAAAATTCTGTCATAGTACTTCACATCAAGTTTGATGATCAAAGTTTTTATCAAAGCAAACAACTAGTTCAAAATTCGAATAACGTCAGAGGATCCTCCCGCATATCCTCCACAGTTTAAAACTATTTCCGATGTTCAAACTATTGATTTCGTACAGAATTTTTCTGTCTAAAAGAATGGACCAGAGATGCATCGATTAATAATCGATGTTGGGACATTCAGGAAAATCGTTCAGACTTGGTTATAGTAAATCTCTCAGAACTGCGGAATATCTCATTTTGTAGGGAAAGGTTGACTCTACAGAGGTAAGTGTTAAGTAGGGTTTAATGTTATATATAAAAAAAATATGATTAATCAAAAACGCACAAAAGTCGCAAAAAAATAATTGATCTTCGATTTCTTTTTTGCGATTTTGCACATATTTGAATATTTTAGTTTCTGCCACAAATAATATTAAAACTTTTTTAACACTTTACTTTTCTAGAGCCAGCCGTCCTCTACAAAAGAAGATACTCCGCAGTTCGGATAGATTTACTATAACCAAGTCGGAACGGTTTTCCTGAATGCCCCCAACATCGATTATTAAACGACGCATCCCTAGAATAGACTGAAAAATTTACATATGTCATAGCGCAAAACCGTGTATTACGGCGTCGTTTCGATGACGAAGACTGCTTTTCTTAAAAATTTTTTTCCTAGTAAACGAATTTCACTCTACACATGTTGCAGAGTATGTCAAGTTACTTACAGAAGATAATTCTTAGTCCTAACGATTAAGCACTTAGTTAAATATAATATAACACCTAGGCGAAGAGGAGCAGTCAGGTATATATTTTCTGTGAGAAATACTTCTATTCTGCTAGTTCGCATTCTTGTTTTCTTCCCAAACGTCTGCGAATAATTGTTTTCCCACAATCTGTCGTTTCTAGCTCTTGAGTTCTTCAGATGGGTAATTATCGATTTCATCGCGTAAAAGTGACTATATCATTTCACACTGAATGTGTTTGCCTGGTCTTATTTGCTTGTTAGTTCTGTTAAATTCAGCTGAAAGCTTGATCGTTAAGGACTGAAAATTATCTTCTGTGGGTAACTCGACATGCTCTACAACATACGCAGATCCGAATCCGTTTACTCGAAAAGAGCTTTAAAAGTAATATAGGGATGAATGGATATAAAACATGTGATCAGCATAAGACAACACTTATTATCAAGTAGATTTTGAAAGATGAAGCACACGAACAATGGGGGCAATTTTCTCATAAGAAGTAAAAAGAGTGCAATTTTTGGCATCCAAGATCTTATAGTTCATTTGCTTGTTTTGTGTTATTCTCCTGAATTCCGGATTTTCTTCTATTGTTATTGCGTTGTTTCTTCATCTGATTATTTTTCATTGTTTGTGTCCTCTCGTATTTCATAAGAACTAATGTATTGTAAAAATATTCAACGAAGCAAGCATTCAAGAAATATAATCAAAATACTAAAAATCGCCAATTTGTCGTAAAATTCACCACTTTATTCGAAACAACTTGTTATTTTTTGTACGAAAAGAGATTAATCGATGAAAAAATGAGATTTATGCCTGGTTTTGTATGGTGAATTGAATGCGATGCGTTTCAAGCAAAACTATGTGACTTACGTGTTCGTGATTTATATCGGATAACCCATATAAAATCGGACACTTTCATTTGTTATTTCTGAGGTACTGCTCAGTAGTCCTAAGACTTTGTTCTAAACTCAATTGATAGAGAATTCAGTTCTCAACAAAACTTGCTATTTGAATCTCTGATAGCATTTTTCTCGTTTGAGCACCATTCAAAATATTCGTGAAAAAAGGTGCTCTGTTGTCAAATTGCGACAAGCTTTTGTTGTCTCCTTTTTTGAGACTTTTAGCTCATTGTCTTAGGTTCAATAGTTAACTTATCTCCGTAGATGTATAGAGAATTTTGTGCTCTATCGATCTCACTTCTTTACAACTTCGTACAATGTTTCTACTATGTCAGCTGGACTTAAAACTAGCTTTCAACCGGCTTTTCAATTTTTCCAAATTAAATTAATTTTTTTAATTAATGGTTTCAGTTGAGAAATTTTGTTTACATATCAAACGATGCCGAATTTAATTCAATGTAAGATAATGAGACTAAAACCCTGGATTCAGAACGTTTTACTGCTTTTATAGTAAAAAAACTAAAGTCTGTGAAAAATAGGTTCAAAATTCAGATTTTTTTTTATTTGTTAGTTTTCTGCACAGAGAAATTTTCCTAGAAGACTTAACTGTAAAATTTTGAAAAATACGTAAGAAAATGCAGAATTTTCCGGTGAATCTTCTGATATTTTCAAAATTCTTATGGAATCTGTTTTACGATCAAGGCAAATATTTTTCTATTCTCAGTGTGTCGCACTTAGGCGACTCTTCAATATTTTGAATGGTGCTCAAACGAGAAAAATGCTATCAGAGATTCAAATAGCAGATTCTGTAAAGAATTCAATTCTTTATCGATTGAGCTTAGAATAAACTCTTTGGACTACCGGACAATGTCTCAAAAACAACGAATGAAAGTGTCCGGTTTTATATGGGTCACCCGATATGGTCTATGATAGGCAACTACAAAAATTTTAACGCAAAATCTTTTGAATAAAGAAATCGTGTCATATCAAAGCTCACTGTTGCACTATTCAACAATATATGAATCATAAACTTAAATTATTTTAAAAAAATTGACTTTCGGATGGAAGTTTCGCCCAAGCAGATGAAGATATCAGAACAATACACTTAATAACTGAGATAAGAATCATTGAACCATGCGTTCTTCTGTCTCTTTCTCTTCTGAGTACTTCATGAAATCGTCGATAATTTTGTTAATTTCTTTATAGGCATTTATTAACATTTGATTTATTGGAAATGATAGCAGAAAATGTGGGAAAATATTTGATACGGTTAGAGCATTATTTTGAATTATATGAAGATTCAGTTTATTCAAACCCAGTTACATTTGATTTACAAAGTTTATTTTTACAAGGAAAAATTGTTGATCTAGTTGAATTAACATTAGGAGCCAATTTACAATTAAAAGATTTAAATCGTTTACAATGGACAACAACAAATGGAGAATCATCATCACATAAAAATTGTAAGCAAATATTCGTACTAAATATCAGATCGAAAAACCGTTTTCTGGGATTAGTTACTGCCTTAAAATCTCTCATTGCCTAGAAGCTTCGAAAATGTTCCATAGGTCGATGAGGAATCGCCATTAACTGTTAAAAAATTAATTATTTTCAAAGTGTATTCATTCAATTTTTCGTGCAAAATCCCCTATATGAATTTCTTTGTGGTTGTTCTACTGAAATTTTCCATAGAAAGCCTTTCTGCAGTTTGACGACAAGTTTCACGAAAACTTCATGGGAAATTACAAAGAAATTTTCTATCTAATCATTTCGAGAAAGTTAAGTTTTAACAGTGAGTAATACGTTACCACCACGTTAAACTTGGCTTTTCAAGGGCACCTTCAGAAAAATGTTCAGTCCAACCAAGCAAAATTTGAGCGAAGTCATAACGTACTACACTTAAACCCTAGTTTTACAGAAAACTTCGAAATATCTTAGCAAAAATGGATCGATTTTCTTTCTTGATGTTCTAGTTCTAAGAAAAGTAATCCTTTCTCAAATCTTTCAAATGTGTAATAAGGTGAAGAGGGCAAAACTTTAACGAAGAAAACTTATTAATTTAATCATTTTGCTCCAATATTTCATAAAATAACATAAAATATTCTTTTGTTCTATTTACTTTTGTCTACAAGACTGAATTTACGCCTTTTCTCGAGAAGAAACGATTGAGATTAAGCGGAAAGGGTTTATATAAGATGAAAGCACTTCCATATATCTACTTTTGTATAGAGAATCAAATGAGCATACTTTGAAAATAGTTTATATTTCAACGGTTAGCGCCTACTTTCATGGATGTTGGATTTCCTTTGTGAATTCGAGAGCACTTGCTGAACTTAATACACAGTACGTCTGTACGTTATTCGAGTTGCCACTGTTGATGATGAAACGTAGATGAGATTCAGGCTGTTTTAAAAACTGGCAGAGCTCATTCAAGGCAGTTCTGTCCACAGATGAAGTAATCTATGAGCAAGTTAAAGTATAAACGGCATTCTGAACACAAATATCTTTTCGTTTTCTTATTATCTCTCTAATAATTAATGAGAAATTTCAGCAGAGAACATAAGTGATACCCGTATGAGTGCGGAGTGCTATTGCCCGCCTCGCAAAGGAACTAACAATAGAACAAATTAAGGGGGGGGGGCGCGCCGGCGCGCCGGGGGGGGGGGGGGGGGGGGGGGGGGGGGGGGGGGGGGGGGGGGGGGGGGGGGGGGGGGGGGGGGGGGGGGGGGGGGG